AATACCAAATTCTACCACATCGGATTATTACTTTATTTCCCGCCACGACTACTAACTTTCATTATGTAATTGTTTCAAGAAACAAGGCAACGTCCGACGATGAGCTTTGTGCCTAACGATGAGCAGCATCTGAAATTGGGCGCAGTTATTTCCTGGTTCGCCGCTGCAGATTACCGCACCGCACTGAGATGCACTGTTTCCAAAGGTTGACCGAACAAAATAGACTTACCTGTTCGTATAAATTTCTACGCCTGGAGGACGATAGCCTATATAAGCGTTGTAAAGCTCACGCAGTCGCACTTTTCGCGAATGTTTGTAAGCATTTTTCTCGGTCCACCAAAGTCTGATCATCACTCTACGGGTAGGACGGCCGTGGTATCACAGTGACAATGCCGGCATCGCCGGCAGTGCTTAGCATCAGAGTCGAACTCTTCGCTCACAATTGTACGTTTTTCAGGCCGCTGTATTCTGGCCATCATGCTACGGGCAAGCTGGAAACAGTTTTCAATGCGTTTTCAACATGCGATTTCAACAAAAACGCTACGTTGGCCGAAAAGCCAGTTACACTGCCGGCCATAGAACACGCCCTTTCAGCAGCTCAGGGGTTTGAACTGTACTGAATGAATTTCAAAATGGCTGTTTCAGTTCAAAACCCTCATACACATGTCGAGCGCCCTCTTCAAAGAAAACGTTCTACACTTAAGAATACTGGGGCAGGGATCAGATCAGATCAGATGAAATAATCCAACTTATTTTTGGAATGTTTTTTTAAGCGCCCAAACCTGCATTAGACAACAATATTCAATTATTTTGTAAGTATGCTGCTCAATACATAATTGTTCGATTGCGCCATGAAACATAAGTATTGCCAAACTGGTCGTGTGAAATTCTTATCGTAGCGGAGGGGCTGACTCATTTGTGGCACTTCAACTTCTTGAGAGGTGTTGTGCTGTCGGTCCGTTGTTGGCAGAACCCAAGTATCGTCATCTGCGCATGTTTTGGATCTCTCTCAAGGTGTTCTTGCATGCTGATTCATGATTCTTGGTTGTTTAGTTGCATTAATACCCCTGGTTAAAGCGTTATCTTCAAGTTATTCGATTACCAGTCTTATTTCTGTCACATCTAGTAACAGGGTCCAAAGTCCTGTATTGTGTAATACGAAACGTGATCCGTGGCGAAACTCGTACTGCATGCGTACCATTTCTTTGTAGCCACTTGAACGCTGTTGGTGCCAGAAATCGTGCTTATGTACCCCAGACACCAATGGTTTGAAGATTACACTTAACTTGACCATGAGCACGGTATGGCCATTCGGGTGGTAAAGTTTGCGTAACATTTCTATGGCGTCATACATGCCTGGGTGACCTTGAAATACCCAGCACGAAATAGTGCACACCAATTTGCGGGCAGCTAGCTCAGAAATGGCTATTTCAGTTCAAAACACCATTGAAATGCCGAACACTCCCTTTAAATGCGGCCGGCCTGCTCGTAGCGCAACAGTCAGAACACAGTAGCCCGGGTAAAATGCTGCTGGTCGTGCGTGAAGAGTGCAGCTGCGTACATTTGATAGCACTGGTATGGAGCTATCATCTTCCAGCGCAGCATACATTTCCGATCTGGGTATCAATGTGATTCAGTCGATCAACGACAGCATATCACTCAATGCCGGTGGGTCGCTCACACATATGATTTGCAAGGTAACGATGCATATTTAAAAAAAGAAAACTTTTACTGGTGCGCGAAGTGTGCAACATGCGCACACGATGTCGTTGCGGATACACTATCATCCGGCGATGTAAATCGCTCATCGGCCGACGTATCCGTTCCTGTTTTGATCATCCATCGGCGGCGCATTGCTAGCTGCGTTCAGCTGGCCGTAGCGTGATGGCCAAAACACTACGACTATCACTAGTCGTCACACAAATCACACAAATACTAGTCACACAAATCACACAAATACTAGTCACACAAATCACACAAATACTAGTCACACAAATACTTACAATTGTGCGCGAAGAGTTCGACCGTGTGCATTTGATAGCGCCGGAATGAAACTATTGGCTTACAGTACAGCCCACCCGTCGGACTCTGGCTTTCATTTAATTCGGTCGGCTACTGGACACTACAACACTCAGAGCTGGCGAGAATACCACCGTGGCGATTTACAAAGATGCAGCGTCAAATTATAAAACAGAATGTTTCGTGCGCGGAGGGTGCACCCATGCGCACATCATGTCATTGTGAGAGTACTGCCTGCCAGTAAATTTATTGCACTTCGATGCGCATGACAATTATGTTAAAATTAACTCTTGCCGGCGGCAAATTACGAACCACGTCAAGTCTGCCCGCAGGGTGATAGCAGGACTACGGTGACCCGAAAAAATGACATCCTCATGGGCCGAGAATGCGACTGTGTGAATTCGATATTGTTCGTGTAATCTAGCTTGGGTAGCCGCTATTATCTTCCAGCATGACATACTTCTCCAATTAGAGAATCTGTTTCATTAGGGAGGCTCCCGACGGGGTTAGCTCAGTGCTTTCGAGCGTGGCGCAGCGGCTGCGTGTAAACTTACCACGTCCAATTTAAAACACTCGCTCGCGCGCGCCGGATGCGGCCGTGGACACACGAGGTCATTTGCTGCGCGCTATTCGCTACGAACATAAATCACCGATCAGCCGGCATAGCCTTTGTTGTTCGCCCGTGAAGGCGCATTGCTAATTGCGGCCGGCCTGTTCGTGGCATGGCCAGAATGCATTAGCCCGGGAAATGCTCTTACAGCCGTGCACGAATGCTGCTGATGTATGCATTCGATGGCACTGGTACAGGGCTACCAGCCGACAGTACAAAATACTTGTCGGATTTTGGTTTGCATTTTATTCAGTCGACCCCAGGCAGCGTAGTACTCAATGTTCGCGGCCCGGTGAAAGCAGAGGCTTGAAAAGATAAGCCGTCCAGTTTAATAAACTTTGAGTCGTGCACGTCGGGCTTGACCTTGCAGACATGGTGCCATTGTCGGCGCGCTATCGACCGGCATTGTAAATCGCTTATTTATCGACATGACCTTTCTTATTGCAATCACCCCTGGCGGCGCTTACCAAGCGCGGCCGGCTGGCCCGCAACGTGATGGCCAGAACGCGGCAGCCCTTGGAAAAGTGTTTTGAACTGTGCCCGAGGAGTGCGGTGGTGTGCGTTTGATAGCGCTTGTATACAGCCATATTTATAAGATTTTGGTTTCCATTTCATTTAGTTGAACACCTGACAGCGCACCACTTATTGCTATCGGGTCGCCGCAACAGAGGTTTTCAAAAGTTATCCAATTTTATCGGTCTCTTTTTTAGATTTCCCAATATCAAACACGGCTGCTCGTGCGCAGAGGATGCAACAATGCGCGGGATTTCATTGCAGAACGCCATGGGCCGGCACCGTGAGCTGTTCATCTGCCGGAGTGACCCTCTTTGCTGAACCCACTTCTCGACATCGCGTTGCCAACTGTGACCGAAAATTCCTGTGGCGTTAAGTCAAGAATACGGCGGCCCGTGAAAACAATTGCTGAGAACATTGTTCGAAGAGTGCGACTGCGCGCATTTGATAGCACTTGTGGGCACTTGTGGAGTGTTATCAAGTGGCAGTCAAGCGCACTTCTCCGATTAGAAAATATCCAGTGAGAAGGGGGCGGGGAAGCTGGACCAAACAAAACAGATTCCCTAATCGGAGAACTGCGTCATCCTGGCAGATAATAACCCTATACCAGTGCAATGGAACGTGCCCAGTGGCACCCTTTGCGTGCGATCATAAGTGTATTTACCTATTTGCCGTATATTGGATACCAAGCTGCCGGCAGCCCGGTCGCAGTCGGCACGCCGTCGCGGGGCGGTCTGAACAATGCCCTGAGTGAAAGGAGTGATCGACGTTGCTGGCCGATAGTGCTCCCACAATGACATGTGCTTATGGCTGCACTCACTGCACACCACTTAGGGCATCTTAAATGAACACCGTAGCCTTGTAAATCGCCTGTTCCACCAGCCCGCCAGCATTGAGTGAGTCCGTGATGCGCTATCGGCCAAATAAAGTTGACCCCAGGAGCAGACAAGTGTTTTACTGACAGATGATTTCGTAAAATAGCGCTGGTATAAGGTACTATTTAAGGCATTAGACACTAAGGTACAGTCGCACTCTTCGCTGGCGACAATAAGGGGTTTTGCCGGTCCGCCGTTTTCTGGCCATCACTCCGCGGGCAGGCCGGCGGTAGTTCGCAATGCTTCATCGATAAGTGAATGAGCTGATGGTGTTTTGCCTTATGTCCCGACGAAATCCTGAATCGACCCCTTGTGCGCGGGGCACCAAAACCTTCATTTCGGTGCACCATAACAGTTGTTTTCAAGAGGTACCGAATCCAAGCAACCAATTTCAGGGAATGTTTCACATCTGAAGATGTTGAAGCAAGCATTAAGTGTGGTGAAACAAGCTCACTCTTAACTATTCGTAAGCTTTTGTAGTGCAAAAGACTGCACTGGACGGCCCATTTCTCTAATTTTTGGGACGGGAGGGGAGCGGCACCAACTTCCAGGGGACAGACAGTGAAGCATGGCCTCTCCTTGACGAAATCCTGGATTCGCCTTGCCTGGAGGACCGCTCGTTCGATGCGCGTGTAAGGCGGCCATGTAGCTTAATTCGCTTTATGCAGTCTCAGCAGAATAAAATATCGATGTCTCTGTGATCATTAGAGTACCAGCTTTATCCATCCCCCGACCTACCCTGGTTTATTGATCGATTTCAACACGGAGCCATGAACGAAGTTTTTCTTGTTAAAAACTTTGTTACTTCTCTCTAGGTCCTAAATTTTTTCGGCGTTTTTGGAGGCATTTGTGGCGATTGTCAGTTCGGTGTTCAGCCTGGTATATGCGTTTCATTTTAAAAAGTGGGGAAATTCAGTCAACGAAATCATACCATGGCAGGGTTACCCGATGCTGAAGACCTGATTAATGATTCTGTTGTAAGTAAAGCACATCTTTTTGTCATTTTTAGCCTGGATTTTGCGGCTTCGATTTCGGTCACCTGCGCGTTATAATTGTCGAGTAAAGGTATCACTCACATTCATGGATGTTTCCAAAATGTGTGTTACTACATCTTCTGAATTTTCATTGGTAAGTTTCACAGACACATTGTGCTTGGAAAGCAAGTTGGGAAAATTTGCGGCATATTCATTGCTGTCATGTACACCAATTCAAAATTCCCTGATACTTTTATATGGGCTGTAAGCATCCTATACCACATTAAGTGGCAGAAAGAATGGATTTTAATTAAATATTAAGTATACAAAATGTTTTATTCCACATCAAATTTTACAAATAGGTCATGACCATGAGTGTTTCCCATACAGCCAAAATGGAACATTATTAACTGAGAATGCTTATACAGTGAAAAATGTATGATCATGATTTGACTGTGAAGGTTTGCAGCTCATGGTAAACATTTCAGTGATGTTATTGTGATGTGTGTGATGCTATTTTCAAACATAAGTTGTAAGATCTGTATATAGTAGATTAAATATGCTCACAATGTTTTTACAGGCATACTGCAGAGCCACACTATATTGGTGTCCCCATATTACTGAGTGGTTATTGCATCAAAGCGGTTGTCACAATTCATGCTGCTCGGATGCTCTAAGCAGTGGCCACCACACACATCTTGGAAGCAAGGGGATGTGAAGATAATGGAAGTATTTAGTAAGGATTTTGTTCTGAAATGTCATTTGTGGCATTTAAGAACAAAACCGTTACTGCAAACCATTTGTGACATCACTAGGATATCCAACAAAAATGTCGTGGCAGCAATAAAACACAACCTAATCCTTCTTCACCTTGCCCCACCTTGCCTTGCCTTGCCTTGCCTTGCCTTGCCTTAACTAACTTCATCTCAATCATTTTGAAATATTGTAATCCAATCAAAAACAATGGTTTAAGTGTATCAAGGCCAGGACACATCATTCCACTGTAGTTGCATCTTCTTGGGGTGCTATGTTTAAAATGCCTTAACTGGTAGCAGAGGATTTTCATCCCAGTGTCAGAGGTGCACAGCTCTAGGGGAGGAAGGTAAAAACTGGCTTAAAATATGTTGATAAATTTATGGACAGCATGATAGCAACTGATAAGGTTTAATGCAATTTATGCACTAAATAGGGTCAGGTTCCATCTTGCAACTATATTGCAAACAGCAATGGCTTGACACTTTCCACACCCCATTGTTGTGTTGTCCAACACAGCAAGGTCAGTAACATCTGCTGTCCTACACACTGACCATTTGCACCATGTTAACAGAATGTAGCATGATTGCCAGTGCAGAATGATCTGTAAAACATGTACAGTATGCAGGTGTCATTTGGCATTGGCAACAAGCTAAGTCAACTGACATAAGGAACTTGTGCATGACATTGGGAACTCTCACATTGTAGTGAGTAAATGGGAGAGTTGAACAAATAGAACAAAACATCCAGCAAGGACCATGTACAATGGCACAAGTGCAATGTTGAATGCAAGAGAAGGTGAAACTTGTCCCCCTTCCTCCAAGAATTGAGGCCCATGGTTGCAGGATATTCAATTTACATATGCCTGATTCAATGCAGCCTCAAACTGTTAATTAGCTTTGTTCAAAACTGTGTTATAGTTCATGTGTTGTCATATCATTGTTATGCCAGAAGACCCCAACCATCATGTCAGTCAGTATTGTTATCAAGACCCCAGTCAGTATCATTTATTGGTTTCATAAAACACACAGCAATATCAGGTGATCTGCTTTGATGCTGTGCACCCTGTTTTACCACCCACTGTAATCACCTAGAAGCTACCTGTAGCAATGTCAGGTGATCTGCCTTGATGCTGTGCACCCCGTGTTGCCACCCACTGTAATCACTCTAGAAACTACCTGTTTCAATACTGATTGTGTGCTGTGTAGATTCAAATAACATTTTGATTTGACTACAAAGTTGAATTAAAGTATCATGGCCCAAAGTGTGAACTTACCAGACGTGACTCCCTCATTACAGGCCTCAGTTGTGGAAGGATGTCAGCTGCCTGTGCACATGCTGAAAACCGACGAGTGGCGTAAGTTGCTTAGATTAATTTATGGTCAGGTTAGTGTGGACACCTCTTGAAGATCAACACTGGACCATTAATGCAGCTTCCAGTTGGCACTGCAAGCTTGGTGTCCAGACTCACTTTGTTCTGGACCATGGTGATTTGCTTAGGTGGTGGATAAGCCACAGTGCCATGAGTCAGTGCGCATTCCCCATGCCGATAGTGACGCCAAACTTGCGTGTTCCAGCATTGGCCGAGATTGTCAGCACAAAGGAATGAGGATGGCCGACAGAGGTTCTACGTCCACTACATTGACTGTGAGTGTGGTGGCCGGCAGCGGGTAGGGCGCTGTCTGCCGGCCGCGCGTCTCCCCACGGTCCGCTGTCTGCCCGCCGCGCGTCTCCATGGTCCGCTGTCTGCCCGCCGCGCGTCTCCTGTGATCCGCTGTCTGCCCGCCGCGCGTCTCCCACGGTCCCGCTGTCTGGCCCGCCGCGCGTCTCCCAGCCTTATAACTGCGATCATAAGATGCGAGTCGGTGCGTTGCGACTGCGCTTCGATATGTGGCCTCAGATGGGGAGAAAGCATCGAAGGCCAGGTTCTATCATTCTTATCACGACATTCGTCCCATGGCAGCCTGGTGATTGGAGAGGCCATCCATTCAGCTCTGCCATGGTCTGGTGGTGTGTCATTTGCTTACAACGCTTGCAAGCGAGTGCTACCGTGTCTCTGGGAGCTGGCAGAGTGGAGGTGCCTCGCCGGACTAGTCGGACTCGTGCGCTGGTGAGACGGTGGCTGACATGGGCCGCCCGCCCCACCCTCAGACAACAAGCGGCTGGATGAGTGGGTGACAGAGGAGCGGCTGGATCTGCGGCGCATCCAGTTCCCCCGGAAGGACAGAGATGCTCCCACCACCACCACCCAGGGTACAACGACTGGGCTGAACACACCCAAGAAGGTAGGCCTCATCAGTGTGTGGAGTGTTAGCTGGCTTCGGCGGAGACTTTTCCCCTGGACAATACCTGGCTGCCTGACGGTTTGCTTACAGATCACTGTGTCAATGGAGGTGTAATTCGGTGTGCCATTTGCCTTAAGACTGGACGGTCGGCCGGCGTGAAGGGAAGACATACCCATCTATCACTCACTCTTGTGCGGTTTCTTTCACACACTGGTGCTGTGGTATGTTGCATTTGTTCTAGTGCCGGACGTACACTTCCTGTCCGATTTAGGTCATCCTGGCGCCTTCAGTTGTAGGGATTTAAATTCATCGGCCAGTCTGGCGGGAGGTCGAGCCACTTGTCTGTCGTCACCTCCTGGGGCTGTGTGAGTGTGTGGTCGTCCCTCCCGCTGACTCGGACCTGCCCCTTGTCCCGACTCTACCCAAACCTACTTGCTTTTTCCACACCCCAATTGAACCAGAACGCTCGGAACCCCAGTCTGCCGTGACCCCTCCTGTGTCCTATGCCCCATCTGACGTTGACCCACCCCTCGAGCCCAGACCCGGCCTCCTGTCCCCACGGTCCAGCCGGTGCCGACCGGACGCGTGCGCCGGCCCCGCTGACGGGGCGTGCCCGGCCCGTCTGCAGAAGGAGCCGTCCAGCACGCTGCCGTCGCGGTCCGGCTCACCGGTCCAGTCACCCGAGCCGCACCACATGGCCGGCACGCCCAACGTCCTGTCTGCCGCCCTGCTCAGAAAGAAGGCGCAGAAGCGCAAGCTGCCCTCCTCCGAGGAGGTACGACCCGGTCAGGCGGCCAAGCCGAGTAGCGGGCGACCGCTGACGTCATGCTGTCTTCGGGTGGGAGCCGGGAGCGGCTGGGTGGCGGCCAGGTCGCCAGGTTATTCACCAGCGGTCCGGACCCGAGCCCGCCGCGCTGAGAGAGGCCATTGACTGCTGTGGGGTGCCGGCTGCTGGGTATCGACTGCTCTGGGGTACCGGCTGCCTGGTACCGACTGCTCTGGGGTACCAGCGTCAGCCGGTGGGTGCGGCCAGTGTTGTGCTATGCCAGCAGCTTGCTGTCGGTTGAGGGGAGACACTAGGATCGGCATGACCCTGCGACATGACATTTGTTCGAACTGAGTCACCTGCTCGATGTCTCGTGACCCATGACCGTGACGTGGCCAGACTGTGACCTCGCGCTGCCGGATTCAGGGGGAGCGGCCGCGGGGCGGTTCTGAGGGGTTGTACGGCACACTTTCGGCCACCATCGGCCCCATCGTCACCACGCCTGAGCTGTGGCTCCGTTCTGAGGTGACCCTGTGAACGGCGACGTGACCGGTGACCCGGTGACCGCGCAGGGCCAGCCGCCGGCCAAGCTGGAGCGGCGGGACGGGCCGGGTGCGCCGGAGCCGGCGTCCGAGCCGGTCGACCCGGGTTCGGCCGTGCACGCACCGGCAGCATGGCCGTCCACCAGGACGACGTGGTGACGCGCGTCAAAAAACGTCCAGATGATCGAGCTCGGTCGCCACCGCATCAAGCCCTGGTACTTCGCACCTTACCCTCAGGTGAGAAGCGGTACTGCACTGGTACTGCACTTACCAGGCTGCTGCGCTGCTTGCTATTATGGTTGTAAGCACTGGGAGCGTAATTGACGTCCAAGAACATCGATTTCGTCATTTACAATGACCACATCTTTCAGTGTCAAAACCGGCTTTTCCAGAATGCCAGTTAGAAATAAGCCTGCTGGCGTCATCTGTTGTGTTAAAGCTTATGAAAGCTCATGAAATGAAAACAAAATCCAAGCTCGACAAGGACCAGCATTGCAGTGCATTTCTGGCATATGTTGACTTCCTAAAGTCGACGGGCACCATTCACTTGTGTTGAATGATTTTCGTCATACACTGATGTCTTTGAACTCCGTCTGTGTTGTATGATCTTCATAGTACAGATATGTCTCATCTCGCGCACACGACGCCGCGAAAAGCATCTTAGTGGCGTATGTACAGCGGTTAATATGGTAATTGATAGAAGATGAAGAGCAGGGAGGCAGTCATGCCATGCCTGGGACGCTGTCTTTTTCGTCTGTGTGGAGAAAGGCGATGTTTACCAGCCTGCTGCAAGAAGGCTTAGAACAAATATTGATCAAATTCTTCTGCGGTCATATTTCAGGAAATGACCAAGATGGGGTGCATATACCTTTGCGAGTTCTGTCTGGCATACAGGAAAAGCTCGAAGTGCCTGGAGAGACACATCGTAAGTGAACTTTATGCTAAATTGCTGCTCACTGTGTTCACAGCAGTTTGCGTGAATTGTGCTCAAGTCGAAGTTGTTACGCTTACCAAACATCACCCTTCGTTCCCCGTCGCGTTTATCACAATTCATCCACGTTAACATGAATACTCTTGCACACCTCTTCTGCGCATGCTTTCTTATGGCGTAGGGCTCTTCACATGAAGAATGTCGACTGCAGCATAATTTTCGTAATAATGCGTAGACTGAAATGTGTGAGGGGCTCGGGTTAGAATTAAGAACAAATATAGACCCAACGGCCCGCGATCCACCGGTTGCATTGCATGTGAAAGGACGTATTTGGCGTACTTTCACCCCTAATCTTGTTATGCACCTGTCACGTTTCCACAGAAAAAGTGCAAGCTAAAGCACCCTCCGGGTGACGAGATCTACCGCAAGCACACCATCTCCTTCTTCGAGGTGGACGGCCGGAAGAATAAAGTGTACGCGCAGAACCTCTGTCTGCTCGCCAAGCTCTTTCTCGACCACAAGACGCTGTACTACGACACGGATCCGTTCCTCTTCTACGTGATGACCGAGTGCGACAGTCGCGGTAACCACATCGTGGGGTACTTCAGCAAAGAGAAGGAGTCGACCGAAGACTACAATGTTGCCTGCATCCTGGCGCTGCCGCCCTACCAGCGGAAGGGCTACGGCCGGCTCCTCATAGAGTTCAGTGAGTGCTGTTCAGCCGGGTCTGGGATGAACGGGAGTCGGTGTGGCTGCTCAGCCGGGTCTGGGGTGAACGGGAGTCGGTGTGGCTGCTCAGCCGGGTCTGGGGTGGACGGGGGTCGGTGTGGCTGCTCAGCCCGGTCTGGGGTGGACGGGGTCGGTGTGGCTGCCCAGCTGGGTCTGGGGTGGACGGGAGTCGGTGTAGCTGCTCAATCGGTGCTAGGACCGACGGGAATCGGTGTGGCTGCTCAGCCGGGTCTGGGATGGGCGGGAGTCGGTGTGGCTGCTCAGCTGGGTTTGGGGTGGACGAGAGTCGGTGTAGATGCTCAGTCGGTGCTAGGACCGACGGGAGTCGGTGTGGCTGCTCAGCCGGGTCTGGGATGGGCGGGAGTCGGTGTAGCTGCTCAGTCGGTGCTAGGACCGACGGGAGTCGGTGTGGCTGCTCAGCCGGGTCTGGGATGGGCGGGAGTCGGTGTAGCTGCTCAGTCGGTGCTAGGACCGACGGTAGTCTGTGTGGCTGCTCAGCAGGATCTGAGATCGACTTGAGTCAGGGTGGTTGCTCAGTTGGGTCTGGGACGCTGGACCGGGGGAGTCCGCGTGGCTGCTCGGCCGGGTCTGGTATGGAACCCGAGAGATGCTGCGCTTACTCTGATGTGGAGGTCTGTGGTATGTGGATGGTTTGTGTTGCAACTAACCTTGGTACATGATTACTTCAACCGAATAGCCAAGCTGGAGTTAAATATTTTTAGAACTGAGCGTGTTAGCATTTTTTTTCTTTGTCAGCTATTCAATTTTAACGATATTCCTCCTAGGTGTTGTCTTCGGCATGAACAGTATGATGCACATGGTGAAGGTGATAGGTACGCTATTGGCTAGTATCGTGGCCCTTACGGCTTGTTGAGCCGGCACGCCGTGGCTCAGTGTAAGTTCAACTTTGTTCTTCAGTTGGTAGCTGGCCGATTTCCGGCATGGTAATATCTTGACGGCCAGAAAGTCAAAATTTGAAGGAAAATCTCCTCGGTCTGCTCGGTTCCTTCAGAACCTGTCCGCGTTAGAGTGCGAGTGCGGCTGGTACCGGAGCCAACCACGGTCCGCGCCGGCAGGTTACGAGCTGTCCAAGTTCGAGGGCAAGACCGGCTCGCCGGAGAAGCCGCTCTCGGACCTGGGCCTGCTCTCGTACCGCAGCTACTGGTCGCAGGCCATCCTAGACCTGCTCATCAACACCAAGCCGCTGGAGGGCCAGGAGACGCCGCAGATCACTATCAGGTCAGCGCCCGCCGCTTACAGAGCCGGGCCCAGTCGTCTGTCCCCCCCCCCCCCCCCCCCTCCTTCCTCCCGCCGATGCAGAGATGCCACAGATTACCGCCAGATCAGCGCCCGCCGTATCAGCTTAATGTCTAATCTTTTTTACTGTCTTGGCGATGGATATCCGCGCATCTCCGGGACAATGCACGAGCTAGTTACGAAAATGTTGCGAGCTGCGCATGCTGCTAATACCACGTGCGCCAAGCAGTTAATACCACGTGGCCGGCGAGCGGGCCACGCTGGCCACAGGTCCTGTTCCCCAGCAGTGCCGTTTGGTGGTCACAGGTCCCGTTCCCCAGCAGTGCTGTTTGGTGGTCACAGGTCCTGTTCCCCAGCAGTGCTGTTTGGTGGTCACAGGTCCTGTTCCCCAGCAGTGCTGTTTGGTGGTCACAGGTCCTGTTCCCCAGCAGTGCTGTTTGGTGGTCACAGGTCCCGTTCCCCAGCAGTGCTGTTTGGTGGTCACAGGTCCCGTTCCCCAGCAGTGCTGTTTGGTGGTCACAGGTCCTGTTCCCCAGCAGTGCTGTTTGGTGGTCACAGGTCCTGTTCCCCAGCAGTGCTGTTTGGTGGTCACAGGCCCTGTTCCCCAGCAGTGCTGTTTGGTGGTCACAGGTCCTGCTCCCCAGCAGTGCTGTTTGGTGGTCACAGGTCCTGTTCCCCAGCAGTGCTGTTTGGTGGTCACAGGTCCTGTTCCCCAGCAGTGCTGTTTGGTGGTCACAGGTCCCATTCCCCAGCAGTGCTGTTTGGTGGTCACAGGTCCTGTTCCCCAGCAGTGCTGTTTGGTGGTCACAGGTCCTGTTCCCCAGCAGTGCTGTTTGGTGGTCACAGGTCCATTCCCCAGCAGTGCTGTTTGGTGGTCACAGGTCCTGTTCCCCAGCAGTGCTGTTTGGTGGTCACAGGTCCTGTTCCCCAGCAGTGCTGTTTGGTGGTCACAGGTCCTGTTCCCCAGCAGTGCTGTTTGGTGGTCACAGGTCCTGTTCCCCAGCAGTGCTGTTTGGTGGTCACAGGTCCTGTTCCCCAGCAGTGCTGTTGGTGGTCACAGGTCCTGTTCCCCAGCAGTGGTTTGGTGGTCACAGGTCCATTCCCCAGCAGTGCTGTTTGGTGGTCACAGGTCCGTTCCCCAGCAGTGCTGTTTGGTGGTCACAGGTGTTCCCCAGCAGTGCTGTTTGGTGGTCACAGGTCCTGTTCCCCAGCAGTGCTGTTTGGTGGTCACAGGTCCTGTTCCCCAGCAGTGCTGTTTGGTGGTCACAGGTCCTGTTCCCCCAGCAGTGCTGTTATGGCGGTGACAGGTCCTGTTCCCCCAGCAGTGCTGTTAGAGGGAGCGCAGGCTGGCGCCGCTGCTGTGGAGGACAGCCGCGGTGTGGTGGGCGGCGCATGTCGTCGCGCGGCCGCTGCTCACTCAAGTCCGTCCTCGGTGCTCCTGATCGCCCTCCAGCTGTCGTTCGTGGCGGCTCCGTGCGTAGAGTTGGGTGAACGGGGCGGATGCGTCGGGTGCGATTATGTGACGTCATGCCTGAACTCGGGCATCGATGAACATGCTGTCTGTTTTCCAGCGAGATCTCCGAGCTGACGAGCATCAAGAAGGACGACGTGATATCCACCCTGCAGTGGCTGAACCTGATCCACTACTACAAGGGCCAGTACATCATCACGCTCAACAAGGAGCTTATCAAGACGCACCTGCGCAGCATGGGCAAGCGCACGCGCACCATCGACTCCAAGGGCCTGCACTGGACGCCCCGCGACTGGTCGAAGCGGGGCAAGTGGTGACCAGCGGGTCACGGCGGTGCGCCGTGACCCGCCCGTAGTCAGCCGTCCCGCCGCTGTGCGCCGGGCTGCCCCCGGCTTGTGATCCGGCGGTGGCGGGGCGACGGGGCACCTCGGCTGTGTAGACCGGCCCGCCGGCCGAGCGTCGACTGAGCTGCCGTTCGTGTTGTGATCCGGCGGTGGCAGGGCGGCGGGGCACCTCGGCTGCGCAGACCAGCCTGCTGGTCGAGCGTCGACTGAGCTGCCGTTCGTGTTGTGATTGCGCCGTTTTCAATACAGCTTTTGCAGTCGGCAGTGCCGTTTCGAAGAAGGTGGCTGACGGAGATCTTTGAAGGCGTGCTACGTGACATGCAGTGAGGTCACACTTGATGGATCGTGTGTATTTTTCCGTCGTAGGGTCTCCATGAAAAATATAGGGATTTTGGGCTAAGCGGCGCCAGTACATGGCGCCAAAACGCATCGTTTTTTTTCTCATCAGATTCTGTGAAGTAACGTTCTATAAACGCCCCTCAGTACGCAGTCCTACAACCGACTTCAGCACCGCACCTTGTAGCAAGAAAATTCCGACACCTTTGATCTTAAAAATAGCCGCACGTATACCACATACCAGCTATTTCGACCACTCCCGGTTTCTCTGGGGCGTCAAAAGCTGTCACGTGTTGAAGTCGCCGAATACCAGATGAATTTTTGACACTGCCAGTTTTACCACGTCATGCCGGGTAAGAGCAACGAGCGGACAGGTTGAAACCCATGCAAACGTATTTCAGTCAAATCTATGTACCACTTGCATCGCGGTTTTAGACGCAAAAGTGCGGTGACAGAGGCAGGGGCGAGGTCGGGTCAGTGCGTGTGGTGGTCTTCCGCAAGCCAATCTAACTGATGCATTTCCAGACAGCGTGCCACACGGTGAGTGGAATGATACCGTTGTGGAGATCTCATATATGTATTAAAACTATCAGGCAATACCTCGTACATTATTTCCCATTAGCTCCAGAACGTGCACCTTTCGATTTCCTTTAAAATCACGACAGGCTTAGACAAGGGTAGACATATCAGGGATGCTGTGCAAGAAACTTGGTTAGGCCACGATGAGCTTTTTAAACGAAAGAGTGTTTGCCCAATGCAAAATGAAACATGAGTTAAGAAGCTTTGCCGTCCTTGCGACTCGAACATTGGAATACCAGTCCGGCATCCTCACGCTGCGCTACGCTGTTCAGAGCCGACGCCGACGAAGTTGAGAAATGGGGCGGCGAGCTGTGTAAGTAGTTTTTGACGCTTGAAAAACGTAAGACTACGCCCTAGGAAAAAAGTGGCACATAGGTTGGCAGATAATTAAGCAATCTTTTGCATGATGCAAATCGACTGGGTATAATCCAATATGTGGCCTTTCGAACCTCGCAACAAATCCTACAGCACAGGCGCAATGGGCTCCAACTCCCCCATGACGTCATAAGCCGTCGCCCAAATCGATCGAACACCCGAATGACAACCTGATTATATGACCTCAGTGGCGTCCACCGAAAATGCTTCCGGCGCCGAGCAGAAATGGTCACATGATCCAGGGGCGCAGTCCGAATTGTTTGGAAGGGATGGCCTGCGGCCTGCCGAGTGTTCATCTTGCCGATTTTTTAACTTTCTATCGGAAACCCTCTATGATGAAAAAGAAATCTGGGCCTAAGGACGAAGCCCGGACCCAGGACACCTCCCCGACTGCGCCCCTGATGTGACTGGCCTGAGACTACAACAATGCGTGCAAAAATAGTTCACACATATATTCGTTCCACACACATACACAGATTCGGGCACAATATAACGGCTACGACGCTTACAACATACGTAATACTAATCACCCACTAGAATACAAAAAATACCTACGCCTGACGAGACCGGACAGGACCGAACGGGACCAAACGGTGAGTGCTCAGCGGGACCAGACTGCTCCAGAAAGCAACCAAGGGAAAGGCTAAGGGGACGTGCCCCCCCCCCCCCCCCCCCCGGCTCCTGAACCAAGAGGAATGAACCTCGCCGGAATGGGTTAGACCGAATAAAACGGATGACATCGTCGGAAAAGCCTGTCCCACTGGCAGCTGATAACCTTGCTGGAGAGCTTTCAGCACAGCACATGAATCTTTTGCGATGACATCATCTATTCTGTCTGGTCCACCCCATCCTAGTTCTGGCGAGATGGCCGCAACGGCGATTTCAAACCCACAGGATGCCATTTAAAATGCTCTTAGTCCTGCATCGCTGTTGCGAGCCTGCGCACACGATGCCATTACGGGAGAGCCTATGGGTGGCAATGTAATTTGCTGATGGTTCAATGCCAAGGAGCGTGATGGCCAGAATGCGGCGGCCCAGCAAAAATACGCGTAATAAGCGTAGGCGCCACAGAGTGCATTTGTTAACGCTGCTATGAAGCTATCAGCGTCCAGTAAACCAGTTCCCTTCGATGGCGTCATGTATTTCATTTGGACGACGTTCCATCCCAGTTCTGGCGGAACGGTCGCAGTGGCGATTGTTATACGCACAACTTACAATTTAAAGTGCTTTAAGTCGTGCACGGTATGTGTGACCATACACATATATTACTGTTGGAGAGTGCTCGGACGGCAGTGTGATCTGCTGATCAGCCGCCCTGACCTTTCTGTGCAATTCGGCCGTCACACAAACATACTTTTTAGCGCTTGCAAAGATGCCTACGGAGTGTATTTGTTAGCAATGGTAGAAGGCTATCAGCGTCCAATACATCAGCCATTTTGGATGACGTCATCTCCTTTATTCGACCGACCGCCATCCCGGTTCTCGCGAGACTGTCGCAGGATCGACCTTTAAACGTATGGATTTGAATTGGAAATATGTTTAGTCTTGAGACCTAGTCATGGCCATTCACACGCGATGTCATTGTGGAAGTCCATTCCCACAACAATGTAAGTTGCTGATCGGCAACATCCCCGTTTTTGCTTAAATCATCTCAAGACAGTGCATTATTAAACAGCGTAACGGTTAGCCCAAGACGCCCCGGGACAAATACTCATAAGGCCACATAGAGACTGTCGAGAGCTGAGAGCTGGTTTGCACATGCTCGCAGCTGGCGTGCACGGCCAAAGGTCTTTCAAATTGTCGTCAGCAAATTTGAAATCGCCACTGCGGCCGTCTCGCCACAATTGGGACGTGAGATAAAAAAAAACGAAAGAAAACAGGACAAAACAAAATAGAAACAGACCACGTCAATGAAACAGGCAGATATACTGGCATCTGATATGTATATATATATATATATATATATATATATATATATATATATATATATAGCTCGATAGCAGCGTTAAGCAATGCACACAGAAGCTCTTTTTGCGCGGGCTTATCCGTATTTTTGCTTGGACGCCGAATGCTGACCATCATCCTACTTTGCAAACACCGTCTCGGGGCGATTTGAACATGAAAGCTCATGTCAGCTGATTAGCAAATTATATTACTGTCCAAGCGCTCTCCCGCACTGACATTGTTTGCGCATGTTCATGCCCGCCACGCGCGATTAAAAATTGCAAGCTGTAATTAATGTAAAACCGCAAGCTATAATCTTAAATTGCAAGCTGTAGGTTTAAAGGTCGCCGTTGCGGCTGCACGTAGGTTTTTCCGGGCCGCCGTGTTGCTGGTCATGAAGCTACTGTGCAATGCACCGTCTCGGGCCGATTTGAACAAATATGGGACTTCGGATGATCAGGGAATAGATTGTTATCCGAAAAGTCTACCTCAAGAACATCGTGTGCGCATGTTCGCACCCGCTGTGCAAGAATAAAGTATGATTAAAAATTGCACGGCCTACGTCTACAAATCGACGCTAAGACCGCTCCGCCAGAACTGTGATGGAACAATCATCTAACAAAATAGACGGCGTAATCGGAAAAGATTGATATACTTAACTCAGGTGTCCCTATATATATATATATATATATATATATATATATATATATATATATATACATGCTCCATCTGCCCGCTCCCCGCTTCCATCATCCCGCCCCCACCCACACCCAAACACTGACTGACCTCACCTCTTCAAAAGAGCAATGATCGTAATTTTGCAGGTCTCCAGGATAACTTCCTGTTGTAGTTTTGAGAATAATTGTGTCGTACTGGGTTTTAAACAAATTGCATGATAATGTTGCCGTCCGATTTTCTGTAGTCGTGGCACGTGCGCTAAATCCCCCACCTCCAAACTAATCGCACTTCATTTAGGTGGGGACTTAGCCGTCCTGAAGTAAGTTAGGTCGTTAACCCTATTATTGGCTGTATCAAGAAAATAATGGATTAATTCGATCAATCGGAGCCGTCAAAAATTAACCGGGGCCATAATAATGCACACGTGTTTTATGTCGGCGACACAATATCCCTCAAACACCATTCTAGCTTATTGAGCCTGATCCAATGTGTCCGCTCAGGTATCCAGCACTGACCAACAGGGTGGTTTACGGCTCTTGCCATGTCGGGAGCGTCCGGCACCGCTCCAAGACGACCAACAGGGGCACCGACCTCGCGACGCCGGGACCGTCGGAAACAGCCTCACCGGGCAGGCGGAGGTGGGCGTCAGGATACAGCGTGCGTGGACGGAGTTTCCCGTGCTCAGGGCGCTCGCGCAATGCCTGATACGGACTGAGGGAACAGATGCCTTCATGCGACGCTGGCACAACTCCACCAGTGCCGGCCGGCGTTCTATGCTGCACGGCTGCCCTCAAGCCGAGGGGCGAAACGCCACGCGCATCGGTGTTCAGCCAACGGCAGCGTCGCGCCGCCGCCCTGCCAACCTTCGTGGCCGGACCCGTGCCTCCGCTGGCGACGGGCCAAGGTGGCGGCAGGACTGCGGATCGCGGCTAAAGTGCAACAGATGGCCGACGAGCGGCTGCACTTCACAGCCTCGCTGAGCCTGTGCGACTGCAAATTGTGCCCTTGGACGCTAAGACAATATGCAGTGACACAGACACAACGTGGCCTCTTTCTAGCAGTGGCGAGCGCCTTCTATGGGTTTGTTTCCTAATACTGTTTCTGTCGTGATCGTTGCGGAGCGCAGGGAGACTGGGTTTATTTGGAGTGAAACGCAAAGCGTGTCATACCTGGCGTTGAGAGATACATTGGTCTATATCATCGAGAAAAGATAATACAGCCGGGCAGCTTTTGTTGGAACTGGGCTCATTCGGAAACTGATTTGGCAGCCTCCGATGTATGACGTGATGTGGCTTCCTTTGCGTGCGTTTATGTGTCTCTTGCTCTGTATGTGTGTGTGTGCGCCTGCTGAT